AGGTACTCCGAGGGCAAAATCGTTGTCATCTGCTTAGTTCTTTGAACTTAGGATCCTTGTATAGTACTAAGTCGTGTTCAATAAAAAAGAAACAGAATTCAGCAAATAAATGAGTAAAAGAATGAATATATAAGCCAGTTAGTCTATCCCAAAAACCTAAACCGTAAAGATCTTCTGTAATGTGGAAAAGCCGGCACACTTCTTTGATATGTAACATGCTGTTAGAAGAAAATTAAGATAAGGAAAAATCCAAATGGGCAAATTGTTCTGGTTTTTTTTTTCTTTTCTTTTCTTTCTTTTTTTTTTTTTTAATTTTTTATATTTAGGAAATGCCATTCACTGAGAATGAGAAAGTAGAAATAAGGGGTATGTGGAGAAACTAAGGAAAGATGCAAACAACCCAATCCAATTTATATAAAGAGCAAGGTGTATTAGAACTTACCTATTTGTTTCTCCCACAAGACTGTGATCCAGGGACCACTCCTCTGTTTACTCTCTACTTCTGGGGCATAGTAGCCAAGGGCAAACACACACTAGCAATTCAGTAGATGTTTGTTGAATGAGTATTAGGAGAGGCTTATTATTTTAAGATACCGTGATAAATATGTATTGACTTTAAAATGTTAATTTATAAATATGTGTTTTCATCAATCATGTATGAAAAAGATTTAAAAAAGGACTTTTCTGAAGTCCTTTTGATTCTCATACTAGATTATTCTTAAACAAACTGTAGCTATTAAAAGCCACAAGTGTCTAGATCATGACTCCATGGTAATTATTTGACCAGTCACCTTATCGAAGCTATCTGAAAGACTGTTAACTTGTTGAGATGTAGTGATGTTATTGTTAAATAAATTTTTAAGAAATCTTATTTTACTGGTAAACAAATAACTAGCAGAACAGTTGTCATGGAGCGTCCCTGTGGTACACAGTGTATAACACACCACTTCTCTGTTAATGAATTCAAGGGAAGGAAACGCCACTATTAGTAATAGCTTTTTATTCGGAGTCCTCATTTTCCAGATAGGTCACATTAAACACAGCCATTAAACAATAGCGTTGAGATAAATCCATACAATGTATGCTGCTTTTGTCGTTGTTGTCCTTGTTCACCAATTGCTTGGTGCAGCTAAGAACCTTATGGAGTGATGGGGTTGATACATGGGAATAGCCAACCTGCAAAACACTGGGGCCAGGAAAGTCAGACTTTAATCAGGTCTCATTCAATTATGTTTCAAATCAACACATCTTGATAGCCAAAACTCTCATTTGAATTAATGCTGTGATAAATGCTGTCTGTTGTCAAAAGAATATAATTAGACAATAATGAGTGGGCATATATTATGCCAGACCCAGTCCACTTGTTGACCTCAGCAACTTCTACTCCATTAGGCAACAAACAGCTTTTAACCTAGTTCAAATAAAGCATACTGCTCTATTACTTCATGACTTTTTTTTTTTTATGGTGTCATTTTTTATATAGAGCACTGCCTATATACTTTAAAGGGAAGTCATGTTTTACAAGATCTCGGAAAAATGAAACAAAGTCAATTTCCCAACCAGGAATTCAATTAATTCATGGGGGTGGTGAGCCAATCCTTATATATTGCCTGCAATAAGGATAAGTATGTAAGGTTAAGAAATAATATGAAAGCATTCTTTAAAATTGCATGATATGTCTCTTTAATGTTTACTTTGGTATAGGTATAACTAACACTGATTCTCACTACTTTTAACTTTGATGAAAAGATCTTTCATTAACATTTAATGAAAAGATTGTTGTGTTACTGATTGTTTTTAGTTCACCAGTGAACAGTTTTTAGAACTTTTTGACTTTCTTACAAAAATTTCTATAAATTCTTATTCTGTGCTTGACTTCAGTTACTGAAGGACCTAAAAGACAAAGTATTATCAAATTATTATTTTTTTGAATGTGTGGGATTTTTTGAAGGGTTAGTATTTGAAGGATGTGAATTAAGACAATTTTTCCATATTCTGAATTATGCTAAAACTGCTTGAAATATCACTGTTTGATCACGCATCACCCCTCAGAGCAAGTTGTTCTCTACAGGGGTGATTTTGGCATCTCATAGACTTCCACGGAAGCCAAGCACCAGAGGTCTGTGATAAAGGCAGTCGTCAGCCAAATGAACAAAGGCGAGATTCCCTCAACTCAACTATAAAAGCTCAGAGTCCTGACTGCTGAATTACCACCAACTTGTAAATAAATAATCACTACTAAATACAGGTAATGTGTTAAACAGCTAACGCTAGTAAATCTCCAGTGACAGAGCCTAAAGGTAAATCCCTCACACATTGGCACAACCAATTCTTAAAATCTTATAGTGTTTTAATGTCTTCAGACACATATAATAAATTGAACAATTGGTTACTCAGCGTTAAGAATGTTTTAAAAATAAAGTCTACTCTCTTTGTTGATTTCATTTACACACTGCCTTAGATTGTACTACGTGGCTATCTGTCTAGTCAGAGAGAGGAAACACTTGGTAAGACTAAATGGAAATTAGTTTTCCATCAAATTTCAGCTATCAAGCTAAATCAACCTGTAGTCTCCTGGCAAAAAAAATAACGTTATATAACAGAGACAACACATTTCAGATACATAAATTGTCCAAAATATAGAGAGTCAATTAGGTTTCACGTGTACAAGATCCCTTCTTTTCTAATTTAAACACTTATGAGTAATAAAAACCAAGAGTAGAGCTTTGGAAAGGCTGTTACTAGGAACCAAATACAGTTCTCGAGAGAATAAGGCTGATGGGAGTTGTCCACTCTTCCCTTTCAGAGCTGTTTTGCAAACGAGGTACAGTCTAAAATCTTGACGACATTTGACAGAAATATTTTCAGTTGAATTTTTTGAGGTTTTAAATTACAAAACTTAATTCAGTTCAATGTTTGTTTTTGCTTTTGCTTTTGTTTTTAATATAATGATTTTATGACATTTATGCTGTTTCTACACTGGCTTGGTGGCCAGAAAAGAAGGCACAGAATTCTCCACCAGTTTGCAAATAACGCATTTTTCTGCTCCAGTGCACAAACAGCCTTTATTTAACTCAGCACCACATTTTCTAAGGTATGGGCTGGAAACTGTTTGTCATGAAGCTGTAAAATGCCAAAAATTTTAAACGCTGAAGGAAAATGTCAATCAAGGCATTTTCCCATCTGCTGCTACTTCTGCAAGTGCTAATTTTGTTTTTCCCAATTCCTGAAATTTGAGGTTTCCTAGCCTCATATGGAAGTAAGTTTGAAACTTGCTAAATGTCACAAGAAAAGGTGTAACCAGATGAAGGAAGAGAAGGTGTATTGTTCTCAAAGGACACCAATAAAAAGAGGCAGAAGAGTATTGAGAAAAAGGAAAAACATTTTGTTAAGACCCAGACCTCTTGAAACACACTACACAATGCAAGGAACCAGTGCTGGTACCACACATGCATTAAAGCATTTCTTATGGTTTTGAAATATAATGGGAACACACATCTTGAACCACTTAAGATACTTTTGAGAAACCAATCAACTTTATGATATCTACATAGGCAGAAGCTGGATGTTATTGAAAAAACGTGAAGATTCAGGTATCGGTACAAATGTAACTCTTGTGATTTAGCGTGACTTTAATAAAAGCTTCTACAAGGACTTGCACATAACCATGACTGACGGATGTCTTTTTTGACCTTTCAGTTAGCTCCATTGGCTCACTCAAACACATTTTGAACAGATTATGTACTGTAGTACTTGGTAGACTATACATTAAACAAGAGACTCTGCTCTGAGGCACTGCTTCCCACACTCCATGGGGAAAAGGAAGCAGGAAAAAACAAAACTCATAGAGTTCGACAGCTACCGAGGCAACACTTGCCATTTACAATATAAGCCCAAATATTTTTGCAACACAACTATATATTAATTTAATAAAATACACAATATAGCTCTTATACACTCAACAATTTGGCTCATATGCACTGAATCTGCAATAAATCAATAAAAATATGTCATTTGATGTAAACACATTGAATCTTCTTACATTTGCACATTTAAATGGTCATATGATTGGTGTATGCCTAAGACAGTTTTACTTTCCTGAGCTATTTTAGTGTCCACAAATGAAAAAAATGTATTAATCATGTTAATTTCCTCTGCATATTATCATTCAATGGTAACTAAATTTCAGGTCAAATTGAAAACATAACCATCATTATTTATATGTTTGTTGGACACTAAAATGCTAAAGAGGCATTTTAAACCTTTTAAAATTTCTTCTCCATTAATGAAGTGAATTAGTCTATGTGTGTGCAGGACAAATGGACTATATCTTTTTACATTTAACTTTTATACGACATGAAGTGTCTTACAAATGACCAAGGTTTTTTTTGTTGTTGTTTTTTGTGTTTTTTTTTTTCGACTAATGATATGGAATGTTCTTTGTATGTGTGGCAGGTAACTTTATACAGAAATGTTTACCACAAATATGTGTTAATGTTTGGTGTAGCTTGGACTACTGCAAGGTCTTTTCGGGACTTTAAGTAGAAGCCTGTGGAGACTGCTAGAAATCCACCACAGATCACAAATTATGACCCTGCTTTGTATGGGGTTTATAGGTAAACAGTTAAGTCAGCATAAATCACGGAGGACAGTCTTAAGAGTGATCAGAAATACTTCAATTCTCACACTGCATACCTTCCTAACAGATTGTCAAAAGGTAACTCGCTTCCTCATCCTCCTTTTTCTTCTTTCTTTTCTCTTCTCTCTTTTTTCTTTTCTCTTTCAGCATCGTTAATTCTGTCCTAATATAAGTTTGGTCAAAACAAAACCATTGTTATCTCTGAAAAAGAAACAGCAGTGAAAAGAACATACTTGTGGGCACTTCAGATGTTCACTAAAAGCCTTAAAGCAGCATTGGTCTTTCTTCATCCCTGTAAAACGGGTTGTCACCAGGAGGGATCATTTTTAAATCAACAGGAGAGACAAGAAAATGCCAATGCTTTTTTTTTTTTTTTTTTTTTTCACTTTCTCACAGCCACAGGGTCATTCCCCCGGCAGTCCTGCAAAAGCTTATCAATTTCTCTCACGACTTCCTCTGCATCCACCGATTCTCTGCCCAGATCCCTGGTCGGGTGGTCGAGCTGCTCAAGAACGGCACCCATCTCGCTGGAATCCCGGCTGGCTCTAGAATGCACATCTGCAAAGACCCTTGCCATCTGATCGGAAGCCATGAACGGAGGGTCTCTTGGTTGCTTACTGGGTGACAGGTACTGACTGTCAGTGGGCAAGTATTGGCCGCTTGCTTCGGCCAGGGCTCCCGGTTTTGCTTCACAACCATCCAGAGAGCCTTTTGTTGAGGTGCAAGGCTCGATGCATGCCTTGGTTGGGCTGCTTGATGCTGAGGGGACCTCTTGGAGGAGAGGGCTCAGGGCACGTTTGGCTTTTAAATAAGGTTTAACATTGGCAATGAGAATAGTGTGCTCTCGCTTGTCTTTTCCAAATGTACAAAAAGTCTTTTTCCCAGTGGGATTCACAGTTTCGTAAGTCTCAGTCTCAACATTAGCTTCAACTGTGGGTACAAAGAGATTTGTGCGGTAATCTGCATTTTCAGCCTGATTGGCTGCAGGGAACTGTGGCATCCAACACCTGTCAGAATGACCAAGCACTCGGCATTCATCTGTGCAATTAACACACTCTTCTGGTTCTGCAAAACAAAAAAAGAAAACAGCAAATCCAATCATTAGGGTTGCTTTTAAATTTCTACTGAGGCTGTGATCAGCTCTCAGTGGGCTTGTTTGACCTCTGGTCTCTTAATTAAAAAGGGAAAGAAAACAATAATTAAAACATTTCAGTATGGTTGCATAAACCTGCTGGTTGAGACAATGGTTTTATTTAAGTCTTTTCTCTAGATATTAATGAATTCCCATAGCCTGGGAAGAAGTAAAAAGTGGCCATTGGAGAATCATTCTCAGTAGGATAGAACATCACTGTAAACTAATCTTCTGGGGATATCGGTTAGTCTTTGTTCTGTATAACCCATCCTGGAAACAGTGAACTTCAAAAAGGATTACCAGGATTAATTTTTCAAATCAAATAATGGGGTGAAAACTAGATCGCATACTTCCAAGTCCTAAGCTGCTGCTTTTTTTTTTTTTCCCATGTTTTATCCCTATTTTGCTTGTAATTGTTATTTTGGTGGCAGTCATGAAATAAAAGGTTTCCTTTAAAAGCCCACTTTTCCTACTGAGAAGAGAAAATGGAATTTTCTATCAGAATGTGTTATGAATAAACTTGTCAAAAAAGTACACATTCCTATTTTATTAGATATGGGTATAGATCATATAATCAGTTTTCTTCACTCCAGCTTTTTGTTTTTGGTGTAAGTAGGTGAAAATGGATGTAGTCAATAGATATAGTTCAGATGAATGACAACTCATGATTTCCTATTTAAAGGATAATGTTTTCTGTGAGAATGTTTGCTTCTCTCTTTTGCCAATAGGCATAGAGAAAATCTAAATAAAGCATTCTTTAATGATCCCTATTTCAAAGATGCTGAACAGAAAATATGAAAGAAAATTCCTTCATTATGACAACAGCTGCGTAATTCCACCATCCCAATATTTTAAACTATAACTTTGAACTGCATCTTCCCACTTGTCCCTTTCATCTACAAATGATTGTTTCCCTTTATGTTTAATGGTTCTTTTTAAGTCAGGGACTTTTTTTTTTTTTTCCAGGAGAGGATATTTACAATTCACCTCTGTGTGATGGGAATAGAATTCCCTATACATTTAGGAACACTTGGGATAGCCATTTAATTGATGTGAGAGGATTCTACAAATTCATAGTGTCCTGTGCAGGGCACAACCACCCCCCCCCGCCACTCCCCACAAATACATGAGAGGTATTTAAAATAGAAGGCACTGAATTTAACAGCACTGGTAAATTTATACAGTTACTTTGTAAAGTCATATATAAAATCTGAGTTCATATTTAAAACACGTAAATAATTCCTTATTCAAAAAAGGAAAAAAAATAAATCACAACTTGATTTATTTCAAAAGGTTTTAGAATAAAATCATTTCTTATGAAATTAAATTTTTTTTAGAAAGGAGTCAGAATAGTGTCTTGACAGAACAAAAATACTGTGGTATTTCATCCCATGTGTCATTCATACCTGTGAAATGTTAAAAATGATTTCAAGTAGCTTGCCTCTTTTTTAATTTTGTCATGTTTTCAAAAAATATATTTACAGATGAATGAATGAAATATGTTCAGTTTATTATGCACTACAGGTAAGAATCGTGAAAGGCAGTCTCAAACTGAACTCAAAAACTCATATCCCAGAGACTCAAATACTATCTGTGCCTTGGAAGATTGTTAGGCAGATGGACATAAAGAGCAGCAGAAAAATCTAGACATAGAAATTTTCTTGGAAGACTTCCTGTATGGATTTAAAGTCAAGGAGACATTTAAAAAACAAACATATCAAAAAATTTTAACATCAGGTATTTGTTTTCTTTACCTATTCTGAATGGGGATCATAAATATAACCTCTACAACTGTGTTAGTCTGTGTTAGAAAAGAAATGTATATCATTTCATTCAACCAATTTTATCCTCTAGAAACACAGTAGGAAATTTCACTATCTGTTTCATTTGATAATACTTCTGTGTCTTTTAGAGTCACAACTTTAAAAAAAATTATTTATAACCCACATATTCTTTTTGAAATATGCTAACATAGTTTTATATTCCAATATTGACTAGCCTTCAATTTCAGCAATTTGGATAGCCTGGCACTGCATGAATTCAATACGAATTTAAGAAGAGAGTGAAAGAGACAAAATAATGCAGATGTATGAAAGTATAAATCGACCTTGAATTTGAAACCATCAACATGAAATGATTGTTTGCATTTAACAGCTGAAAATCTACAGCTTTTTACTTGACTCCTTTATGTCACAACCTAGGGAGCAAATTCTAAGTATCGATCATGACACATTATAAGCTGTTCACCTTCTGATTAGACTGTAATTTCGACGGTAGCGGTTCCCAGACAGTGAAGATAATCTAATGGATACTTTTGCACAAGCAGCAGAAACTGCGACCAAAAAGTGAACTATTACTTCCAAGGGTCAAATAAGAATTTATGAGAAAGTAAAATTATTTCTGAAGGAACATAAATAAATAGATGAATAGGTAGGTACAAAAAAGGGAATAGGTAGGTACAAAAAAGAGGTAGTATATAATGAATGACTATCCAGACATAAACATTAACAAAATGAGAAATGCAGAAGAAAAAAGAGAGGAGAAGGAAAGCTAAGTAAAGGGAGGGACAACAGAGGGAGGGACAGTTGTGCAGGAGGATTTCTATCATGTGTATCTTCTGTTATATATTTTTAAGATCCCCTCAACAAATTAAATATGTATCATAAAAATAATAGTGTGGAGTATTTTCTCCAGACCTGGAGCTACAAGGTCAATCTCTTTCCTGTGCCTTAGGGACAACAGATCTCAGAATAGGTATGTTGAATTATATGCCACAGAAATGAAAAAGAAGCAAATTATGTAGACAGCAGCTATTAGCATAGATTGGATATTTGTATCAGAAAACAAATTCAGAGACCCTGGATAGAACAAATCAAGGCAAACATAATGGATCCAAGATTCACTTTTTTCCTCTGGACCAATCTGAGGTTATAAAGAGATTATTTGTGCCCATTTTCACCCTTTCCTCAATATAACATGATGACCCTTTTCATAGAATGCACCCTTTGCCAAAAAAAGATAGCATAATCCAAACGGTATGAGGATGAGAAACTGAGAAATAAGCATACTTATACTGCACAGAGAAAACTATTCTGAAGGCCAACAGCTGGGATTCTGGGCAGTTCTGCCTACAGGGAAAGTTTACAGTGTCTCAGTTTTAAAAGGTATGATTCCTTGAAGGATCATGTGACAATCTGATAAATTTAAATACTTGTTTAGTATTAAGAATTTTCTATATACCTATAGTCAAATCTATTACACAAGCTCTCAAAGAGAGGGATCTAAACACACTCATCTTAATTATTTTAATTTTCATCCGAATTTATATTATATTTTTGCAAAAGACATAAGGTCACTCAAATGACTCTAGTACTTGCAATTCAGCTGTACAATAAACCACACAAACACAAACACACACACATACATATATAAACCTTTATATGTGTGTGTATGTGTGTAAAAAATGAGCTTTCAGGCATCTGGGTGGCCGGTCGATTGAGTGTCTGGCTTCTGCCTTCAGCTCAGGTCATGATCCCAGGGTCCCAAGATGGGAGCCCAGCATCTGGCTCCCTGCTCAGCAGAAAGCCTGCTTTCCCTCTCCCTCTGCTGCTCCCCCTTATTTATGCTATCTCTCTCTGTCAGATAAATAAAATCTTTTAAAAAAAATTGAGCTTTCTACAGAATATAGTCCAAACAAAATTTTAAAACTCAAATGTATAACCAATGAATTCCTGAAAACTAACTATCAGTAATTGTCATAAGAGAAATACAGATAAATCAAATGCACAAGAAAGTTCTACATTCACAGTTTAGGAGATAACATAAATACATATAAAATGCACACATATATCTATACACATTTTATATATAAAACATTACATATAATGTACATATACAGGTACAAATCTTTTTATTTCAAATCTCCAAGGACACTTTCATCTTTCCCTTTGCCCTACTGTAGGTATGAAATCCATGACTGAATCAACAACTTGACTACCCCTGATTTTAGAATTCTATGTAATTCAGATTGATTTAGACATAAAGATGCCTGAAATCTACATATGCATATTTGCTGACATATAGGAAAGCTCTGTCTTTTTAACCTAGAGTAAGCAGTTTAATAACTTAATCTTAGCGATATGAGGCAAGCAATCATTTGGTGCCAAAATACTCCTTCAAAGGAACTGTCATTGTGGAAGTTACATTTCCGTGAGGAAAGAAAATATTTAGGTAAGACATCAAACTACCTGCCCTTACATTATTGGGTTTTAGCAAGCTTTCACAAAGGTGTCCATAACTCAATGTTTACCATGTGATTTTCACATTGTAATGTCACTGTATCATTAGGGGTGCACAGCCATCTCAACAACAGGTAAGAAGTGCCAAAGAGTACTATGCATAAGATTAAAATTTGAAGCCAAAGCACTGTTTAAATCAGCAAGGACTACTAAAGATTAAGGGAGCCTTAGCTAAACATGTTTACTTTGGGAAAAGTCAGGGGAAACAATCCTTGTGCGTTATGACTCAGTGGTGTTCACTACAAAGGGAATGTGTCAAGGAGCCAGTCTCCGTAAAATTTCTTAGTCCAGAGTAAAACTACCTATTTATTCTAGTCTCTCTCACTGTCAGGCAGGAATTTGTCACAAATCAGAATTTAAGCTTATTTTCCCTGTCTTCAAAGTGCTTTACCACACTACCCAAAGAAAGATACTTGGCAACTAATTTGTTACTACTTAGGGAGCTATTAGAAAACATAAAAGGATTTCCTCCCCTTAGTTTCACTTGCTTGCTGCCTCCGGAGCCCACATATTTGTACAAAAACACGCATATAGTTTCTAGCTTAAGAGCTTCACATATGCATCTGATTTCATTTTTTATAATGAAGAAATAAACATCTGTGTCATAGAAATCCGAAAACCAAAATCCACAAGTC